CAAGCGATTCTGTAGTCCCAACAGCTTTGGTGATACTGCATACGATTGCGTATGCGGTTTCTAACTTTTAACGGCACAATCCACAGTCTTTGTGATAGGCTGATTAGTTATTGTATGTGTCCTTTTATTTTAGAAGTTTATCACCCGCACAAATTGGTCCAGAGTACTAGACTTGACACTTTGACGATTAGTTTCCCGGAGCAAAAGATTGTACTTTTGCATGAAAATGTGAAATAGTTTGAGGTATACACAGTCACTTGTTCTCTAAAACAATTCGCCGGTTGAAGTCAACGGCTGGAATGAAGTCCTCCCCAACGGAGCTCGAATCCGGCAATTAGTCTAGTTCTGCCAACTCATTTAGCCTGAAGTGCCGAACTTCGATGTGAACAGGGAACGATAGCAAATGTTAATGGGTACATTCTGATTATATGTTGATACATTCCAGCCCTCCGAGAGCTGCAAACAGCCTGAAATAGCCAAGCCCTTCAGACTTGAACTATGAAATAATATAAAGAAATCCACGTACATTTAATTCAACAACATCACTAGATCCTACTCCCTTTGAATGCATCGTGTAGGCAGAAAGTCGGGACTTTATTTTTACTTTATACGTTTTCCCCATGCTGTTGATGCTGACGGAGATTCCGAAAAGGCACGACTGGAACCTTTGACATAATACAGTCCAATCTGAGGCCTCCTCTTCCGCCCATCGGAATAGTGGGAAAGGTGGAAAAGGTGGGAAAATCAGCGCCTTGTGGACTAAGGACTTATACGGCTGGATGTCAAGAGGGATAAGGACTCAGAAAAACTACAATCCTCGCGCATCTTGATATTTCCATTCACCTCTTGCACCCTCTTCTCTGCACCCCTCCCGACTATTTTCTCAGTCCCGTTAGTCTTAGTACAAGGTCTTATGTTAGCAACCACCTAGCAACCACACCACGTCCGACCCCCACCTTGCCGACATTCGTGCCAGAAGGCATGGGCTAAAGCGAACAATGGCCAAACAGGCATAGTGCTACAAGAATACAGGCGAGTGTGTACACAAACACGAAAACACAGGCACATGCAAATAGCAAATCCGTGAGACTGGCTTGTATTCGGACAAATGGTGGTGGGTAGTTAGCAAAACTACACGATAGAAACCTGTTGTTATATGTGTCGTTTTTATGGACCGTCAGTCTCTTTCGGCATTATCGGCATCTTCGACATAATGGTCAAGCCGTGTAGATATTAATTAGCCTGTCTCTAAGACCTCGTCGAAATAATCTTTTAATCATTTCAGGCGGCTTTGGCCAGAGTGCATCCATGCCGAGCCAGTTTTGTTTTTTTCTGACCGCTTGATTGCAGTAACACCACCGAACATAGAACACTCGTCTGAGGGCCCATTTGAAGAGCATCGAAAAAATTTAGTCTTTCTATGTGATCTCATTGTGTGAATGTCGCGCTTGTGGGGCAGTTTATGCCTTCTCCCTTTGACACGGACCATCAAAGACCTCGCCTGGGGGCACCATGGACGGTTGCCGGCCTTTTGGTGTGTGTATGTGTGTGTGGTTACCATGTATATGTTATCCAGTTGACCCATCTTTTTCGATTGTTGATAGGCCAGTGTAAGATTAAAATGGAAATTCGGTAGGTTGCTTTACACTTGCCAGTCCAAACCGCTGCAAGATACTTATTCTGTAGCATTGTCCATCTATGGACCTTCCAATAAGGCACTTTAATTCAAGACAAAAAGGGATTCTCATTCAGTCCATTTTACGATTGTGAACAGACCAGACTTGGATGTCTCAGACCATATTTTGTTAGCTACTACTCTGATTGATAACATTCTGCGTCAATTTATGTAAATTAGAACCTGATTGATTGTGGATTGATTGAGTCCAAATGATCCCCCAGCAACGAATATCATAGAAATAGTCGTCAAATCTTCATAACTAAATAGGTTTGCAGTCGACAGCTCTTTGAACATAGTTTCTGTATTTAATGTACTGACCGGCAAAACACTTCTGTTTAAAATAACAAATTCTTCTGTTAGACAATGACAAAGACCATAATAAAAATAAGAGATTGAGTAGTATCTTTCATTCAATAATCCATTCGGGACTCGGACACGTATAGTAAAGCCTAGAGTCTTAACATGTGAGGCCGGCTCATAGCGTTTAATGTAGAAAAATCCAACCGACAAATGGGCATCAGCTTAACGAAATAAGACTAATACATGATTTATTAATAGTCTAGACAGCTACTCATTAACGAAAAATAAGTAATATGGTCAAATGTAATAGCAACTAAAACCTTGCTTCATCAACAATCCCACTACAGAAAGTGAAATAGGAAGCTTCCAGATTTGCTTGAGATTTAGTCCTGCCCTGTGACAATGTTGCATAATGTTTGACGTGTCAAGACTATCTTCTGCACTACCACAACCTGGATCCGAGTCCTGCTGGGGGTGCTGATGAATCATAGGCGAGATCGAAACAGCAGTCCACTCTAGATGGGAAGTGAGGTTATGTGAAATCTAATTGGACCATGAGGTCTACTTATATGATTATGGAAAAATTCAGCTTTACTTTAAACAAATTATGTTGAATACATCACGAACATTATCTGTTGCCAACGTGGCCAATGTACTCTCAGATAAATAGACATAAACACGGAGGTGGCACAAATTTTTATCGCATCTCTCAGAGTTGTAGTGAGCCTAGCTACGGTAAATTGGAGAGGAATTAAAATCTATTTATTCATGCCTTCCCGAGCAACCATTCGACTTCACCGGTGTCCAAACAACCGAGGCTTGAACATTAGATCTCCAGACTTTGAGCATATTGACCACTCGATAAAACTTTGGACAACGAAAAACCGTGAGTTTGTAGTTGAACTCGGGACAGTTGTTATTCAGTACAAAAAGCAGTTTTCCCCAACATAATTCATCTTAAACGAAATGTATAACAATTATAATACAATAATAATAATTAGAAAAATGGAAATGCTTACGAAGTAACAGGCAGATAGACGGCTGTTGGGAGGATAAACTAATGTGACTCCATTTGTCATTCAGAAGGACAATTTGGTTGGAAAGGATTCGTGAATTGGCCCCATCGAACACCAAAGGTGGATTTCCTTGAAGTGAAGGCTGCTGGCTTGTGTGAAGAAGTCTAGTTCTTATCTTTTGTCTTTCATGTGACACATCGTCAAAGTGAGAAGCCATACTTTACGAAAAAGGAGTACCAATACATTAAACCAGCTGATAAGCTACTCAACTTAAGATAATTTCTAGATCTTAACGTAGCATCCTATGACTAGTTTGGCTGCTTGCTTGCAGATGAGGGGAGTTGATGTATGCTAATGGCTATGCTGTCAGCTGTACGATCCTGTGAAATGGCATTGCACATTGTCTGTATGCAAAAGTTCAATCATACATTCCTTATAACCAACTTTTCCTTCAAGCAACGCTTCCAAAACTCAGCCGTTATTTATTGATACACATTTATTGAAGTATGCAAGTGCAATAAATAAATTAGCATAAAATAGCAAAAAACACAAAAGTTGTCATAGCTGGTTTGACCTCGTTTTCTCACCTTGCTCCCGTTGTCAGGGCAACCTACTCCTAGGCCTTCTGTTGGTGAAATCATGACATTTTTCTGCGTCGAACGGTAGACTTTTGTCTTCGTTCATTCTCTACTTTAGAAGAGATAGTTTAGTGCCAAAAATAACAAGACTGACCCCAGATGGCGATTGTGATACAGGTGAACCGTCTGGAAATGTCGTAATTCTACGTTGTAATGTTAAAAATTATCATGACGACAATGACAGAAGAGTTCGCATAAGGCGGGTTCACCTATCTTGTCATGAAAATGGTAAAATTTAGGCAAAAGAGGTCAAACTCCTTCAAGGAAGCAGAAGGAGACCGTTAGCTAAATAGATAATCCACCACTTAGGCTGGCATATATGTGATTAAATAAAAAAATGCTATCGTCAAACTGACTTCTATTACGAATGAAAGTGTTTGATGAAAAGATTCGAAGGTCGGTTACACTAGAAGATGATTGGCTTCCCTTGAACATTCTTATTAACGCTGTTTCCAATGTAATATCATTCGTTTGCTGTGAAAACTCGCCCGTTGTATGACGGATATGATCATCACTGCTTTCGTATTTATACAAACAAATGAAGATACACTCACATGCTTTGAGGTTGACATATGACTTTAACTAACCAAATCACTTTATACCTCATCAAAGAGCTTAGATTTAGGGCAGATTTGTAGCATTTAAGAATGGGTGCTTGTAAGAAAGATAACCCGATCTGATGATGACCAGCATACGACGGACTTTTTCAGCGGGATCGAAGAAAATTGCCTCGGAAACAACCAATCAACAGTTGGTCACAAGGCATCCGCCCTCGTCTCCTGGTTGGATCGGTCTTCGAATCTCCTCACCAAACATTTTCACTCGAAATGGAAGTAAGCTTAACCATTTCAAACAAACAGTTTGCTCGAATCCAAACTTTTTTTCGTATACAAATTGTTAGTTGAGAAGGACTGGTTGGCATGTAAGTCCAGGCTCGTGTGTTTGAGGAGTTTTAGGCTGAAAAGCGAATTTCGGTGATCTTCACTGGCCGGATCAGGGATCAATCAACGCGTAAATGAGTACAGACAGTACACCCAAACGAATAGGAGGCATCTTGACAGCAATAAACTGCTTAGTTTGATCCAAGTGGCCTTGGTACAACCGGGTGTAGGCTCATTCCCTCCCCCGGCAACCGGAGGAATCGCAAGTAATCGGTCGGCTAGTGTCCTATGCGTTTGTGTATGTGTGTATAGATGGCGAGATGGATGGGTTGGAGAAGGGTGGCGGTTGTAGAATTACCGGCGGGTCAAGAGGTTCTGGAGGCGTTTTTGCCTGCCAGCCCTGCTTCCGACTGCCAAGTCAGGCATACAGTCGCCTCAGTTCGTGTGTGTACGTGCGTCCGCGTGTGTTTGTGTATTGACCAGTCTGATGGTGTTGGTGTCGGTCGTTTCGTTTTCCGAAATGGTCGACGGCGTCCTCACGCAAACACGACTCGTTCGCCCGCCCGGCTGCCCTGACCGGGTCTCTTTCGTCTGGCCAAACGACCGACTGGCCGACGGCAAGAGCCATGATCTTTTGATCTTGTGCCGGCAATCGGATCAGTCTGCCGATCGTACTGATTGCATCTTTGCATAATCCATTTCACTATTGATCTTGTCCATCTTCTACTTTCGTCTGGCCTTCGCCGACGCCCTTCGTCCGGTATCACTTTCATCCCTCGACGCCATCTCCCCTCCTGCCTGACCTGGTACATGTGGGATTCAGGCTCTGGCCGGAGGTCGCTTGGATGTGGTGCATCCTCATTCTAACCGATGCCCAACGTCGGACACGCGATTTTGCCCAGTTTCACACCAAAACTTCCCCAGCTTGTTAGGCGTCTTCTGGCGTCATCCTAATTGGCAGCAAACTATCTGCCTTGGTGCAACGTCTCTGACGCGGATGACTACGTTACAACAGGTATCCTGCTCGAAAATCCCCACATATGGATTTATGCCGGCAAGATTGTAGTCATGGCGATGCGTTGGATGCCTGTGCTTTTGATGCTCACTAATTGCCCCAACAGCCCAGGCACTCTTCTGCCCTCCGGCTCGAGCAATATTGCCACTCTTTCGTCGGCAATACACACGCTGGAGGACGAGCTGACAGAAATCGAACAAAAGAGGCTTAGAAGAGCGGCGAGTAGGTGGAGTGTGTGTCTGTGTGTGTGTGTGTGTGTGTGGCGAAGGGGGGGGATGGGCTGGGGAGCCGACTGGGAGGGAGGAATGAAGTAAAGGGAAGCGGTTTGCGGCTGAAAACGAGCAAGTAATGGACATTCTGATCTGAGGCGGATGAAGACGGACGGTTTGTACGCGTAATTGGCGGGCAGTATTTTATGGCCGAGATGAGGTCGGGGGAGGTGTGGTGATGCGGTTTCGTGCCTGCGCCCCTCAGCCATTTACGGATTAAAGTGGCCGATCTATTGGTACAGTTTTGCACACATACTCCTTTCTCCCCATCTCTACAACCAGTCTTTCTGTGTGTTTGTGTGTGTGCGTGTGCGTGTGTGTGTGTGGATGTGTTACGTAGGTGTCGGGATTAGGGGTAGGCGCAGGCAATCGGTCTGTGCTGCTTCGGATTGCCACCATAAAATCGTCGTATGCCACAGCTTGTGGCATCAGCGTCTCCAGGGCAAATAGGCCGACAATTTTCCAGATCTCTTTAGCCTACTTCCAAGCCTACCGGCAACTATGGCAGTAATCCCGACGCATGCACAAACGCACACACACACATACAATACACTCGCGCAGAGACAGCTATGCATGCACAAGCTGCGTGTAACTGGGCCAGGCGTAAAGCTGGGCATGCCATAGTGGAAATCGGTGTGGTCAACGTCTACGAGACTTGGGATGTTGTTGGGAAATTCACGGTGTAAGGTGAAATGGGACTACAAGCCAGGCAAGAGTGGGCAACCTCACAGGCACACACATACACATGTACACACATGCAGCAGCACTCGGGAAGAGATGCGAAATAGACATGAGGGGTTACAAGGCAGGAGGGAAACGGTTAATGCTGGGATAAGGACTTAGGGACGACTATGAGACAGCCGGCCATGTAGAATGCGGCCAAGTTGCTTTTTCTCCAGAGCAGACCCGGCTGACGCAAGTGTCGGCGATGGAGTGTTGTTTTGCTGCGTCCAAGGACGGGCTGCAAATGGAAATCGGAAAAGTCGCATTGATACACTCTGGGTTATTGCAGACAGGAGGAAATCTGGTGTGACTCGACTTTTCACTTTCGCGCAACAGTTGACTGGAATCAAGTCATCCAATTGTCTCACAGATTACCCAAAGAGAAGGACTGCGTTTACTATGAAGATTTCTTCTAGACTATTCACACCGTGCAATGCCTCGATAAACTCGCAAAATTGTTTATAAGAAGTGAGTGGGTTAAACGTAGATACAAAGACCAAGATGTTGTGACCTCTATTTTTGTCGAAATCACCTTTCGATGTAAAGATGTGGTCTGACATTGTAGTGTTGTCAAGGCGACTTAGTTGAGCTTATTTTGAACAAAGTCCTCCGCAATAGTAGCAATCATAGTTCCAAGCGTCGAAACGTAGACTTGATACATTTGCAGACGTTTAGCAAGCATCCTCAGTGAGTCTTACCACCAACCTACAACTCGTCAAAGAGACAAGTGAACAAGAATGTAGGCAGCAGATAGAAAGGGCATAACAGAAAGAGAAGGGATAACTCAACCGTTTCGGCAGGAAGTTTGGGCAAGGGATTGACTTCATTTGTTTTCTTGACGAATCGTAGCTTGGTACAGAGCATGGAAAGACTCACTGACGATGCCGAATACGATGCCAATGAAACGTCTAAGAATGTACCAAGTCTACGGTCCGGC